CCCGTCTCCCCCACCCCCCCCCCCCCCCCCCCGCCGCCGCCGCCATGGCTACTTCCCCTCTCCTCCTCACCGCTCTCTCTCTCCTCATCCCCATCCCCATCCTCCTCCTCTTCATCTTCCTCGTCCTTCTCCCCCGCTCCACCTCCCCTGCATCAAAGCAGCTCAAACTCCCCCCCGGCCCCCCGGGCTGGCCGATCATCGGCAATCTCTTCCAGGTCGCTCTCTCCAAGAAACCCTTCATCCACTACGTTCCCGATCTAATCCCCATCTACGGCCCCATCTTCACCCTCCGCATGGGCGCGCGCACTCTCATCATCATCACCAGCTCCGAGCTCGCTCACGAAGCGCTGATCGAAAAGAGCCAGCTCTTCGCCAGCCGGCCTGCGGAAAACCCTACCCGAATCATCTTCAGCTGCAATAAATTCACCGTCAATTCCGCCATCTATGGTCCCGAATGGCGATCCCTCCGCCGCAACATGGTCTCCGGTATGCTCTCCACCACTCGCCTGAAGCAATTCTACCCTAACCGCTCCGCCGCCATGGACCGCTTCATCGATCGCATCCGCTCCGAAGCCATCGCTAACAACGGCGCCATTTCGGTTCTCCGCAATGCTCGCTACGCCGTGTTCTGTATCCTGATCTCCATGTGCTTCGGAGTCGAGCTCGACGAGAAAGACATTATTCGAATCGATGAGGTAATGAAAAGGGTTCTGATAACTCTGAGCCCGCGAATGGATGATTACCTCCCGCTCCTCCGTCCCTTCTTCTCCAAACAACGCGAGCAAGCCCTGAAAGTCCGGCAAGAACAAATTGAAACCATCGTTCCTCTAATCGACAAACGCCGGGCGATTCTGCGAAACCCTAACGACCACAAATCCGCCGCCCCATTCTCATATCTCGATTCCCTGTTCGATCTCCGAGTCGAGGGTCGGAAATCTCCGCCAAACGACACCGAATTAGTCACTCTCTGCTCCGAATTTCTCAATGGCGGAACCGATACCACCGCTACTGCTATCGAATGGGGAATCGCTCGTCTCATCAACAACCCGTCGATTCAATCGAAGCTGTATGAAGAAATCATCTCCGTCGCCGGAACAGAGAATCCGGTGACTGAGAACGACATTGAAGGTATGGTATATCTCCAAGCATTCGTTAAGGAGCTGCTGAGAAAGCATCCTCCGACGTACTTCTCCCTCACCCACGCGGCGGTGCAGACCGCCAAGCTGGGTGGTTACGACATTCCGGCGGACGCGAACTTAGAGATCTATCTGCCGACAATCTCGGAGGATCCGAGGCTGTGGAGGGAGCCGGAGGTTTTTAAGCCGGAGAGGTTTTTGCCGGGTGGAGGAGGGGAGAGTGCGGACATTACAGGGGTGAAGGAGATAAAGATGATACCTTTTGGGGCTGGGAGGCGAATCTGTCCTGGTTTGGGGATGGGGACCATACATATTTCTCTGATGATCGCCAGAATGGTACAGGATTTTGAATGGAAGCTTCATCCTGACGAGCCAGAGCTTGATTTCAGCAGCAAGCTTGAGTTCACTGTAGTTATGACCAGGCCCCTTGTTGCCCTGGTGAAGGACAGGCGTCGCTCATAATCTCCTCTCTCCTCTCTCCTCTCTCCTCTCTCCTCTCTCCTCTCTCCTCTCTCCTCTCTCCTCTCTCCTCTCTCCTCTCTCCTCTCTCCTCTCTCCTCTCTCCTCCTCTCTATATATATTTATATATATATATAGGAAGAATTAATTGCTGCATAAATAATATTCCTAGAGTCAGGCAAATGGGTGTGGAGGTGTAGTCACATAGGGTGTTATAGAGTAATGTTGTGAAATTGTGGTGAATTAATGGGAGTTAAAGTAATGATTTTTATTTTTTTAGGTTTATGTTTTGATGTGGGAAAAAAATATTATGTATGGTAAGTCAGACGTGCGGTCGAAGGTTTGGATTACATCATGCTGTGCAAGACGTAGGGTGTGGTGTCATCTACGTCATCGTCCGTGCGTCCAGTTGAGATTATGTGAGTTTGAGATTTTTTTTTTAATTATTGGTTTGGAGGATTATTATGGGGAAGAAAAGTTATGAAATTGTTATGACGTAGGGTGTGGTGTCATCTACGTCATCGTCCGTACGTCCAGTTGAGATTGTGTGAGTTTGAGATTTTTTTTTTTAATTATTGGTTTGGAGCATTATTATGGGGAAGAAAAGTTATGAAATTGTTATGTTAGGTATGATTTTAATAATGTGATTTTATTGCATTTATAATTTTAGTTGAGAGTGCTTTTTGTAGTTTGGTAGAAGAGAAATAAATAAATCAAAGGAATTTTGCATACATGCAACATAATTCTTATGTATTTATGTATGTATTACCTAAGGTTTGATATTTACTCATAGGATATCAACAAATATTCAACAATTAACACAAATCTAGAGATGATTTTTTGAATAAAAAATGTTTAAATTTTGATAGAAGTCATATAAAACTCTTATTTTAGTAAACTTATAGTCAACCAAATCTGGTCGACGAGACGGACCCAACGGTACTAAAAATGGTCAATTTTGAGTAAAATTAAGCCCAAATCAAACCATTAAACCACTTTTAAGAGCTTCCTGATATAATTGGAAGGGCAAATTCATTGTGAATATGACATGCCTATAGTCAAATAGGACATCTCGGCAATACGAATCCAACGAGCCCAAGATCGCTCAATTTCTACATCAGTAAAGCGCTCAAATATCCATCAAACATCATTCAATCAAGGGAATCTCTCTAGACCATCCAATTAAGAATGATCTGAATTATTACCTTATTTTCAATATGGACTCTAATAATATAATCCTACCCTCTACATGACAAAGGGACCTAGACTCTAGGTAAAAGGAAGGCCAAAGTCTGCAAAAGAGGGAGCTACATCAGAGCATTGTGCATCGCAGATCAGACCAACTCTGGCTGTCGCTACCTCTGGCCACTACTGTCGCTCAATCTCGGCCTCCTGAACTTACAATCGTTGTCCGCTGTCAACCTCATGCACTTGCAATCGTCAACCACCGTCAGCCTCTCACTTTTGCAGTCGCTAATCAACACCGCTTGCCATTGCCGCCTCCTCTGTCCAACTCCGGTCATCACCGCCTCTGACCAACTCTAGATTTAGGGAGCAAATCATTATTGAGGGGTTGATTTTGAAGTTAACTCCAAATATGAAACAAAAATAGAGTTAGAAAAAATAGTTGGAGGAGATGTATTCCAGTCAAGGAGAGCCTTTTAACATTTTTGAACTTGTTACATAAAACAAAGAGATGATCCTCTGACACATCATGATTCCAAGCATTACAAACATCATTAAAAAAATATGGACAAGAACTCGAAAATTCTTATACATAAACCTTCTTATGATGCAAGTAGAATTCCCAAATGAGAGGAGAATGGGTTAGTCATCAGAAGTGTAAGGTTTTATAACCTTATATTAGAGATAGAGAAATGAGTATTCCTTTCATCGCTGCATAAGACTTTATCCAAAAGACACCTAATATGATTATGTAGTTATTAGTTAAACCAACAGAAAGATAAGCGAGTACTAAGAAAATCAAGAAGGGCACAGTTGTTGATGCAGGTGTTGAAATCAACAAGCTTGTTGGTAATATTATGGTTGCCACCAATTTTCTCCTCAATATGGTGAATGCAATTAAAATCTCCCAGAACGGCTTATGGCCCATCAATATTAGCATACATCATTTCAATAGCATGTCATAGATTTTTCTTTTTTACTTGATAATTTTCAACACACACAAATGCTATGAAGAAGGAGATTGAAGAAGAAAAGGAAATTATGTCGTGTAAAAACTTAATTTGCACAACAAGAGCAATAAATGAGATATACGTTGTATTCCATTTAATCCAGATCCTGTCATTAGCCGCAATATGAAAATTATGCATACTGAATTCATTTGGGAGCACATTAAAGTGCTTGCTAGAGAGGGGATCAGAAATAGTTAAGAGAGAGCTTAGTTTCAAACAGACACATAATATCAAGGTTATAATCATTAACAAGTTCTCTGCAATCAGTGATACACACACCATTGTTGAAACCACAACATTTTAAGTCAGGATGGTAGGTTAAAACATGAATTAATTTTGAGATTGAGAAGGCCCCCCTATGGTTTTATATTTTTTGGCCTTAAAAGATGAGGGCAGTGGAGGACAAGAGAGAGTAACGTTTTGTCCAGAGAGGACGAAAAGAGAGGGAATGATGAGGGAGGGCTCAGATTGCTCATGTGCAACAATAATATTGTTGTGCGGTGTTGAACTACCATGTTCCACATCTTAATCATGACAAACCTCAATTAAAGATTCAACGCTTTGTGGGTTGTTGGAAGCATTTATAAAGAGATCGAGGATAGATAGGGGCATAGGTAAAGTAGGAGTATTAAGAATAAGGGTTTTCACGTGTCTACTTTTGAATCTTACTGAGTGAAAATTGCCCTTAGATCGACTTTGACTTCTACCACGAAGAGGGTGACGTAGAGAAGAAGGTTTGGGATGGGAAGTTTTAGGGTGCAGTGCGAGAGAGGATCATGGGCAAACGTATCACAAGTTTTACATGCTGAAGGACGCCCTTCATAGATAATTGATTGTTTGATATTCTATCTTGACAGAGATATTAATAAAATCTATAAGAGTATAAGTGGTAGAGATTTGAACACTAACCCTGACAAAAGTAAGGTGTGCGCCCTTAGCAGTGAGGGGGTCAACAATAAGAGGAACCCCAATCTTGCTAATAACGTTAGAAATGTCTTTCTCTAGCGAGCAACATAAGTGGAGATTCAATAATTTGATTCAGATTTGAACTTCTTTAGAATCCTCCCTAATTTGAAATCAAGGGTCAAATTTTTTTTAAAATAAATGATCTGTCATTAATAAGTCATGGAACACTGAGCGAAACCATATCCATATTTTTGTCACAATTATATTTAAACAATAAAAAACCCTCAAACAGGGAAATAAGTTCAACCATACCTCGCAATTTCTAGATCTTACAGATAGTTTGTAGGAATTATCGTCAAATGTTCTTACCCATAGCATATCCGACTAAAGCAAAGCCCTACTGTTTGGAGCCTTCAACAACTTATTCCTCATAGAAGGAGAATCTATTCTCGTAGTGGGGGGGGAGAAGAAAAATTAGAGGGATTAGACACATGAGATATAATAAGTGTTTTCCAGTTAAGAATTGGAAACAATCCAAGAAGAGAAGATGTAGCACATGATTGGAGAGGTGGGAAATCAGAGGCATTCTTGAGAGCGGGCGGGGGGAGGGAGGAATGCGAGCCCATAAAGAGGCGAAAAGTGGAGAGGAGACCAACATAAAAGAGGGAAGAGAGCCTCAAAAGAAGAAGAATAGAAGGGCTCAACTCAATTGACATAAACCCATGTGTCGCCGGGGGAAGGGAGGAATTCGAGCCCATAAAGAGGCGAAAAGTGGAGAGGAGATCAAAATAAAAGAGGGAAGAGAGCCTCAAAAGAAGAAGATTAGGAGGGCTCAACTCAATTGACATAAACCCATGTGTCGCAGGAAAACCCATGAAAACAGAGGTCGTTGAAATCTTCTATTTTCCACCTTAGCCCCGCTCAAAAATTCTCACTAGGATGTCAAGCTATGTGAAAGTTCTAGATATTCGTCTCCTTTGTACTTTAATAGACATAGCTCTGGCAGCGAGACCGGGCTACAAGGTTGGAAGGCAGAGACTGGGTCGACTTAGGGTTTCAATTGAGATTGGATGTTTGTGTGAAAGGGTGGGGCTGGGTTGGAGATGTGGCAAGCTAGGATGGCTCTCCGACATCCGATTCTGTTGTCAAACAAGTGAATGTGGAGGCAAGCACTACAAGTGGGTGTGCTGGTGAGTGCAGTTCCGCTTAGGGGGAGATGAAGTCCGACGAATGACAAAGAAAGAAAAGACTGCAACGTGAGGTAGCACAGCCTGTGACCTTTGGTGGCTACTGCATCCATATCTAATAATAATTTTATTCTTATATTTTGGATATTATCATAAATCTAATCCTAAAAAAATATAATCATTTATTTTCATTTTACACCCTGCCAAGCATTAATGAAAATTAGTTGGTGACTTCACTGTCCCAATTGAATAAGAATAGGGGATGTTTTAAGTTATAAGGACGAGTTTTAAAACTCATTTATAACCCACCTTTTCATTCATGGAAAATTTACATAAATAACACCTAATTTTCATTTATTTACATATCTAGCTCTCAAATTTCATTTTTTATATATATGATACATAAATTCTGATGTTTACGTTATATATATATGTCATTTATTAAGATCTATCGTTTTCAGCAAGCACTTCGGCTATTTATGACTTCTGTTTTTCTTTAAATTTACTCTAAATTTAGAAAAAAAAAATAGACTAAAAGTAATTCCCATACAGTGCTGTCAAAACGGCTCGTTGTTCGCAAATTGCTCGTATTTGATTCATTTTAACTCGAAATACTACTCCAAAATCATATATATATATATATGAGTAGTATTTTTAAAAAGTTAATAAACTACATACTACAAAGATATATAAGTATTAATTAAGAAAATAGAATAAAAATTATTATAAACAATAATTTTTAAATCTTGTCTGAATTCTTAATTATTTATGGCTACGTG